CTACCTTACATAGCTTCATCAGAAAATTGATTTTGTGGCTTACATAAGCCGAATTCATATCGTCTGTCCCAGACCAATAGAACTCTCTCACACCAGCCTGTTTTAAACTATAAATGGAGAATTTTCATTGAATTATATAACATTTGAAATTTTTTATTGTATTTTTTAAATGTCTTATTTTTCTTTTTAAACTATAAATGATGAATTTCATTGATTCATGTTCAAGTTACAAACAATACCCAACAATCAGCAAAACATCCAAACAAAAGACCAAAAGAGAAAATGAAACAAAGGCAATAGAGTAAATCGAGCATTGGGAATAGACAACTTGTGAGGTTTCTGCAAAATGGTGAAACACCAACACGGAGTATCATCTTCCTCCAACCTAAGAACAACTCATAATGCCATTATCAGTGCCCAATGATTAGATTCAAAATTAAAAATATTTAAACAATCACCATTTGCAAGATATAGTTAAAGTGCAACATATTACATCTACACATGACAAACTTGGAAAACATGTCTTCAATATGTGGCAGCCAAAATAGGCTTATATGTTTATTTACACCTTTCACCTCCATGTGGCGTGTTCTGGACCAATAAATCACTGCCACATGGCATAGAGAGAGGTATATAATAAACACGATCAATGAATACTTGATAAATATTCTGACAACTGTTAAAAGTGATTTTTAATTTTCTTCAAGGATAGACTTGGGGTGAAAAAATGTCAAAAAAATGTTCTAAGTACTCGTGAAACATTCATGCTTACACCATTGTGCCTACCTGATCTAGACCGTTCAAGATATATTTTTATAAAAATTTTACCTACTTGGCTAATTCAAAGCAGTCCATTATGTCAAAAAAGTATTGGTGCTCTCATACAACTCTCCACGTGGCAGATTATATCCTTGTCATTATAGCTTTCTAAGCTATATATCCATTGCTGAACAAAATACTTTCTCCCCATTGAAGAGGAGGCTTTTTCTCTTTCACAGCACAAACATGGTGGGGATTAGTTTGGCACATAAGAAAGTGACATCACTAGCATTTGCTTACCGACTTGCCTTGCCAATTGCCACCTAAGCAGGCACTTAACAATTTCTCTCTCTATCCAAATATCGAGGGCTCATATACTTAAGGGGTTTTTATGATTCAACCCACCCCTAGGAAATCCTAGCTCCACCTAGGGGTGGATTGAATCCTGCCTGTCGATTGATGCCAAATTCATGAGTAGGATGTGGTTTATAGGGGGGGGGGGTATTAATAGACTAGGAGGGGGCTGCAAAAAAATATTTTTTAAGGGGAATGCAGTCCAAAAATCCCTTAATAATATGCAAACTATAGGGTAGGTTGTACATTTTAATACATACGTGAGACTACCAAGGGGAATTTAAAATTATATTTGGTTTGATGGAAAAAGTAGTGAAAAGAAAAGTTAGGAAATCCAAAAACAGCTTTAAGCATAGGGATTTTTGGACCGCACTCCCCCTTGAAAATCTTTTTTGCAGCCCCCTCTTAGTCTACTCCCGTGAATTTGGTATCAATCCACGGGCTGGATTCAGTCCACCCCTAGGTGGAGCTAGGATTTCCTAGGGGTGGATTGAATCATAAAAAACCCTATTTATTAAAAAATATCCTAATTTACTAAGACCTGTATAGTTTGCGATTGCTTTACTTATCACTAATTTTCTTATATGAGATTGGGAAATGCCATTTTTTATCATAATGCCCATTTTACTGAAATTAAGTGTATTCATTAATTTGGTGTCAAAAAGTGTAAAAAATATCCTAAGACCTGTATAGTTTGCAATTGCTTTACTTATCACTAATTTTTTTATATGAGATTGGAAAATGACATTTTTTATCATAATGCCCAGTTTACTGAAATTAGGTGTATTCATTAATTTGGTGTCAAAAAGTGTAAAAAATATCCTAAGACCTGTATAGTTTGCAATTGCTTATCACTACTTTTCTTATATGAGATTGGGAAATGATATTTTTTTATCATAATGCCCATTTTACCAAAATTAGGTTTATTCATTAATTTAGTGTCAAAAAGTGTGATGTGTTACAGACTATTTGGCCCCCACTATGATACACTTGAAATGGTAAGTTTTGAAACATATCACAACCCTTGTAATATTTAAGGTGTTTGGTTCCATGGCATTTATTCAATAAATGCTTCCACATATGTGTCACTTCAGCAGTTCCCCTCTCTTGCTCTTTCATATGTATCGAGAATGACAAAAGTGGACTTCAGTTTTTGTGCACACCTACCGTTTGGGGAAGTTAATTTTTAAAGCTTCCACAAATGGTTAAGTGCTTTTTCACTGTTACGTTGATGTGGAGCCTAATGGCACTTAGTTATCATAAACAGTTGTAATTATTACTTTTGTTGGTTTTACAAGCAAATAAAGTACAAATGTTGAATGAAAAAATGTAAATGAAACCAAACACATACATTATGTGTTGTGCTCCAAAAAATTTATTCACAGGTTACTTCAAAAAACTGTTCATGGGCTGGGTTCGGGCCTGACTTTCCATTATGTTAGGGCCTATTTAAATTTTGACAAAAGCTAAGTCCAATCCTAGCCCATGAACAGATCTCGTTCTAAAATTTTATGCTTTGAAAAATAAGAGACGATATGTTGATTTTTCCCTTGGGTTTTATTTCTAAAAGGTTTGTAGGAAAACTATTAAAGGTATTTTTGGAATAAAAAATTTAAGCCCGTATCCTTTCACATTTCCTACTCATTTTAATATATACCGTGACCATTCCCAAACAAAAATATATGCAATTGATGAAAATCTAATTAAATAAATGAAGGGATGAGAGATCCATTGTATGGACGCCCAAAATTTGCGGAGTAAAGGGGTGAATATAAAATTTTTCTCTCCCTTTCAACTGGGAATCACATTCCCTATTTAGAAAATCATATTTTCAAGGATCAATCTTGAACCATAAACTGAACCGGATTTGAACCAAAAGTAGTAGGAGAAGATTATATACGGAGAAAAAATATCTCCCAACGAAGGTGTTCACACCTAAGGAAGGATCCAAAGACTGCTCCCACTGAAGATGGCGCAGTGCAGGATGGAGCAGAATCAGCAGTATTCTTCTTCAAGAATTTTGTCTTTCGCAAGAAACAACAGGATGGCACGTGAGTACAACTTCCTATCAATTCTTTCTCAAAGAACTGATGTCAAGATCGAATCTTGACTTCTCTCACAACTGGAGATCGAACAGGATGTCTGGCGGCTACAGGAAGGAGGCGGCAAGAAAGATCTTTTGCAGGGATTGCAGAAATTTTTCTTCTCTGATTTCAGCTCTCAAGAGAATGTGATTATCTTATCTCTAAAGGCTGCCACCCCCTCCTTCTTTTGTAAACCCAAAGGATCAGTTGCTTATCCAAATCGTATTTGGATCAGACCTCTCTTTAGGTGATAAGGATAAACCCTTATCTTATCTGTAGATTAGATCAGCTTTCTCCTAATCTCATTAGGAGGTTTCTAGATCTGAATCATATTCAGATCTGGACTCTCTGAGTGGATAGGGTTAAGACC